ATGAAAGCGAACCTTTCAAGACTTGAGCAATAAATAATGAGATATGCATGTAAAGAGCGGTAGTGCCACAATCCGTTGCGATTGTGGCTCAAGAATAGAGAAGTCGCTTTCGTTGGGCCCCTCAATCCCGTGCCCGTCTGCAGGCATCCTTCGCACTAACAGGGTCCAAAAACACAATGGATTTGCCACATTTCTGCAATTCGGTGGCACCCCTCACGCAGATCGGCGGTCAGGGTCCAAAAACACAGAGGATTTGCAACATTTCTGAAATTCGGTGGCACCCCTCACACAGATCGGCGGGGTCAGGGTGCAAAAACAAAAGGGATTTGCCACATATCTGAACTTCGATGGCACCCCTCATGCAGATCGGCTGGGTCAGGGTCCAAAAACACAAGGGACTTGCCACATATCTAAAATCCGGTGGCACCCCTCACGCAGATCGGCGGGGTCAGGGTGCAAAAACACAAAGGATTTGCCACATTTCTGAAATCCCGCGACACCCCTCACGCAGATCGGCGGGGTCAGGGTCCAAAAACACAATAGATTTACTACATTTCTGAAATTCGATGTCACCCCTCACGCAGATCGGCGGGGTCAGGGTCCAAAAACACAAGGGATTTGCCACATACCTGAAATTCGGTGGCACCCCTCATGCAAATCGGCGGGGTCAGGGTGGAAAAACACCGGGGATTTGCTACATTTCTGAAATTCGCTGGCACCCCTCACGCAGATCGGCGGGGTCAGGGTCCAAAAACACAAAGGATTTGCCGCATATCTGAAATTCGGTGGCACCCCTCATACAGATCGGCGGGGTCAGGGTGCAAAAACACAAAGGATTTGCCACATGTCTGAAATCCGGCAGCACCCCTCACGCAGATCGGCAGGGTCACGACGTTACCCATCGCCAGGCGTGGTAACCTCTCTGGTCATCTATTGGCTTTGCTCATTACGAGTCGGCCTCACATGAAGTTCCGATACGGCTTCACGACAGCGCCCAGGCCTCATGACATAGCTCTCGCACAACACATTCGGGGATCTTCTAACCCGGGTCAATCCAGACCAGGGTCAGCAGGAAACAAAAAACTGCAATGCAGGAAAACAAACAAAAAAAAACTGCGACGCAGGTCCTCGCAAACCCGGGTCAGCCAATAGGCGCGGCCGCCTCGCAGCCACGAGCGGCTCGCTAACCCGGGTCAGCCAGAGGGGGTCTTCGCAGGATCCTGCAGGATCTGGCGCCCTGGCTGACCCCCGTTTGCATTGACCCCCATCTCATTCCGCCTCCTCCCTCTCCTCCTCCTCCTCCTCCTCCTCCTCCTCCTCCTCCTCCTCCTCCTCCTCCTCCTCCTCCTCCTCCTCCTCCTCCTTCTGCTCCTCCTCCCCCTCCTGGTCGTCGTCGATGTCTTTCAGGGTCGGCGGCAGGGGGCGGAGCCCTTAGGGATAGGAAGGAGGCCCCGGCTCGTGCTCCCGCGCGGACCGCTCTGCGAGCGCCCGTTTGCGAATCTCGAGGACTCCGCAGCATCCGAGAGCATGAATAGCGCCCTGGAGATGAGAGCCAGACATGGGAGCCCAGGAGGAGGACGACGACGACGAGGAGGAGGAGGACGAGGAGGACGAGGAGGAGGAGGAGGAGGAGGAGGAGGAGGAGGAGGAGGAGGAGGAGGAGGAGGAGGAGGGGGAGGAGGAGGGGGATGATGATGATGATGATGATGATGATGATGATGATGATGATACGGATGATGATACGGATGATGATACGGATGATGATACGGATGATGATACGGATGATGGTGACGAGGATGATAATAACATGAAAATAATGATATCAGTAACACGGATATGCACATAATATAGCAAGAAGTATTCGTATTCATAACAAAATATCCATCATAATTTGAGTGATACTATGACAGCAAAAAGACGAACGGTGATGATACTAGTAGAAAAAAATTAAGCCAATAGAACAACCATAAAATGACAATCCGTAGCTTGAACAAATACTTGCAATCCAACTATAAACGATATATAAGGACAGGATTGCCAGAAACAAAATAATAACAATGGCAATCATGAAAATAATGGGTACGATTGCGTTGTTTATTATGTGTTTGTTTATTACGCTTATGAATCAAGAACCATACATGACACACTATATCGGTACGACTAAAAACAATGATGGCACAAATGGTCAGCAGCTCACTGCAGACATCGCGAAGGACTGGAAAATAACGATAACGGCATATATCGTGTGATGAAGAATACACAATACTTCAATCAAACTCACAATGCTCAGAAAAGCAACAGCAACAACATTCGTCTTATAATACCAAAACGATGATCATAGAAATTGATGATGATAATGATGATGACGACGACGATGATGTTGGTGGTGATGATGATGATGATGATGGTGATGACGGTGATGATGGTGATGCTGATGAGGATGTTTTCTACCTTTGTGCTGGGCCACCTGGGCAGCCTCTGGCCAAAGCTGTGGCCCGCAAGGAGGCTACGGCCCACCGGCGACCTCGGCGAACCTCCGTGCAGAGGTGCAAGCCGCACGCGTGCCCCGAACCGCGCACCGACCCGAGCAAAACCCCCACGGCGCGTGCAGCCAGCGCCTGGCCGGGGGTGCGGCCGACACGGGAGGCTTCCCCTGCGCAGCCAGTGCCCGGGAGAGAAAAAGAGAGAGAGAGAGAGGCCAGCGGAAGAGGGCCGAGGCGTGCAGCGCTCCCCTGGAGGAGGAGGAGGAGGAGGAGGAGGAGGAGGAGGAGGAGGAGAGGAGGAGGAGGAGAGGAGGAGGAGGAGGGAGGAGGAGGAGGACGGAGGAGGAGGCGAGAGGAGGAGGAGGAGGAGGAGGAGGAGGAGGAGGAGGAGGAGGAGGAGGAGGAGGAGGGGGAGGAGGAGGAGGAGGGAACAGCAGGAGGAGGAGGGAGCAGGAGGAGGAAACAGCAGGAGGAGGGAGGGGGCAGCGGAAGACATGTGCAGGTTAGACCCGAGACGCACCAACGCTCTTCTGATGAACCCGCCCGCCAAGTCCCCTTGTTCAGAGGCCCCTACAATAAAATATCCCCACTGCGGGAAGGCATTGAAAGAACAGCGTTTGAGAGTCCGCCATCGTGCCAGAACACCGTTCGCGGGACTTTTCAACAGCGCTAATCAGCGCGACTGGTGCGCCCTGACAGTCAAGAATCCTGCTAGAAGACCGCTCTTGGCACTTCAGCCCCAAATCCTTGAAAGTGCTGCACACGTGAAATAACAAAACGAGTGCGCGCGGCGCTGGGCCGAGAGCCACATTTTGAAAGGGAGCCGCCCTCCGCCCCAGAAGCACCTGCAGAGCTGCAACAAGGCAGACGCGCGCGGCGCCAACGCGAAGGCCGCACTTGAAAACGACCGGCCCTTTCCGCCCTTGCACCTGTCGCAGCCTTTGGAAACGAGCGGGAGCCACAGTTTGAAAACGACCCGCCCTCCGGCCCTGAAGCTGTCGCAAATTTTAAGGTTCGGGACCGCGGACGCCCAGCCCGCCCCACTAACACGTCTGGGGGGTGCGACTTGGAAGAGCTACAAGGAGAAAGGGTGGAGGAGGAGGAGGAGGAGGAGGAGGAGGAAAACGTGGAGGAGGCGGAGGAGGAGTATGAAAAAGGAAGAGGCGGAGGAGGAGAAGGAGGAGGACCTCGACGACGACGACGACGACGACGAAGAGGAGGAAGGGACGGGGTAGGAGGAGGAGGAGGAGGAGGAGGAGGAGGAGGAGGAGGAGGAGGAGGACGGGACTGGAGCAATCGCGAAGCGATGGGAAGCGTCGCGCTGACCTTCTCCGAGCCCGCTGCGAAAAGGAAGGACTCGACGACGCACTCTCGATATGCCAGCGCCGAAAGAAACATATGGAAGGGCATGACCATAAGACCTCAAAGCTGAAGCATACGGAACACGCGGATGCCGTAACTGAGTCCCCCCAACAGACTACATCCCAGAATAAACCAAAAACGGCAACGCCATTCGCTCCTTCAGCCCATGCCGGCAAAAATAAAAAACATCCACCTCGACAAACAAAGCCTTCGACCCAGGGTGACAAAAAGCCACGCGGCTGCGCCGACATGCGAACCACAACGCGTGAAAAACGAGATGCCCATAATACCCCTGCACGGGAAAAACCGTTTGTCCAAGCACAACCATCCATTGAAGTACGATCAGGCGGGAGGCGTTGGGTCAGCGCACGTAGGCTCTCACTGTCCCTCCCACCAGGTATGGATAACGAAGAGGCCGAGCGGGAACGGAATCACCAGAAGTATATGCACAGCATGCTGGAGGACAACACTGCGCAGCAACTCCAAGGGAAGAACCAGCTGTTGGTAATCCGCCTCGCCCCCGCAGTCACACAAAGCTTGAAGACCAAAGGCGCGAACTGGTACACCCAGGCGGGAGGCTTGGGTAAGTGCGCAAAGGCTCCCACTGTCCCTGTCGCATGGGACGGATGCCGACGAAGAAGCGCAGGAAAGAAAACCCAGAATAATATGCGCGCCAACATAACAAAATGCTGTGCGGCTGTTCCAGAAAGAACGATACCAAACAAGGATCGAAACTTGCTCCGTTTAGCCACTGGGATAGCTGCCCAAAACCGTAGACATTGACACAAGTTCAGCTGAGGTGAAATCGGCTCGATGCGGTCCTTATTCAATGATGTGCCCCCAAGAAGGATCGCCTCCAGCACAGACAACCCCACAATACCAATACGAAGACGAAAGGATGCTACCCAGTGCCCCTCAAGCGCCGACGTGGAGGCACGGAGCTAGAAGTCCCATGGCAAGTGTGAGCCCAAAGGTTACAACACGCGCCTCGGGACCCCTGTGCTTGAGAGGAGGAGGAGGAGGAGGAGGAGGAGGAGGAGGACGACGACGACGACGACGACGACGACGGGGAGGAAGAGGGGAGGAGGAGGGGACGAGGAGGAATGGGAGGAGGGGGAGAAGGGGGAGGGAGAAGTGTGACCCGCTCCCCGTCGCCTGCTCGTCGGCATCGCCGTCCAGCTCGGCAGCCCCCCGCTCGCGGTCGCACCTCTCGGGGGCGTCCAGGACGGGGGCATCCGCGAGGGCGGTTCGCACAAAGTGGCCCGTGGCAAATGCGCGGACGAGGGTGTGCCCGGGGATGCGTCGAAAGAAGACGGGGTGAGACTGAGGCTGGGGCTGAGGCCAGCGCGCGCCGGAGCGCGCCCTGCGCGGACTGCGGGAGCGCTGCTTGCCACAATCCAAACTCCTGCACTGCTCAGTTGCTGATGATGCCTTCCTAATTTTTTCGCCATCCCGACTTTTGGGCCCAGCCTCCCGACGGCAAGCGCTGGGGGCCATGAGATCCTGGAGATGTCATGGCCCTGGCGCCCTGGCAGTGCTATCCGTACACCCCTGGCCCTCACACTGGCATCGCCTGGACGCCGACTCAACGTGCGTTTGTCGGCTTCGTGCGCTGTCCTCTCGCCTGATGGTCCAAGATGTTCCTAGATGGTCCTCGCCGAGGAAAAAATGTACGCGTCCGAGCGATGCCAGGCCAACCCGCTCTTGGATTAGGTCGGGCGTGCCCTCCTACAGGCGGATTTTGGACAAAAATGAAAAAATCCCCGCAAAAAAATGCGCATTAATTGTCAAAAAATCGTGCCCAAACGATTTGTTTTACTATTTTTGAATATTCCTCTTGTAGAGGGACATGCGCGACTTTTTACACGCCCGAAATGGGTACGGAAAACATGGGTACAATGCCCACCAACAAGTGTTGTCCCAAACCAGCAGCGGCCGCTGTTGGGCAGGCGGCCTTCTGTCTCGAATGAACACGGGACGCGGCAGCGTGGACAGCGAGTCCTGCTCAAAATGAGCAGAACTGCTGTTGGGCATTGTACCCATTCTCTTTCCGTACCCATCTCGTTCGTGCCGAGACTTCACTCTTGGATTCTGTCGGGCCTGTCCCCCCACAGGGGATTTTCGACGACAAAATAAAAAATACCCCAAACATGCTCCGAAAGGGTCAAGAAATATTCAAGAAATGGAGGGCGCGCCGCTGGATCACCCAAAGGGGGGGGGGTTCGGAACCCCCCCCCCCCCCCCCCTGCCCGAGCCCGTGGTCGCGCGAACCCCCCCCCCCCCCCCCCCACCCCCCCCCCCCCTCTGGCCCGAGCCGGTCGTCGGCGAAACCCCCCCACCCCCCCACCCCCTGCCCGAGCCGCGTCGGCGAAACCCCCCCCCATTTCACCCCCCTTCCCGAACCGTCGTCGGCGAACCCCCCCCCCCCCCTTTCCCCGGCTCGCGCCCCGGCTCCGGAACCCCATCCCTACCACCCCCGCCCCGACCCCCCCGAAGCCCTAACCTCTAACCCAAACCCTGAACCCTAATCCATAATCCCTAACCCGAAGCCTAAACCCTAACCGTAGACCTAACCCTGACCCCAAACCCTAACACTAAGCCTAGCCCTAACCTAAGCTCTAAACCTGAACCCTTAACCCTACCCTCAACCCTATCCCTACACCCTAACCCCAACCCTACCCCTCACCCTAAACCCTAAACCCTAACCCTAACCCTAAACCCT